TTTTTTTTTTAATTTACATTTTTTTTCACCTTTTTTTTCGATTCTCTTTTCGTTTTTTTTTTTTTTTATTGGTTGTTTTTTTTCTTATAATGATCGGTACTTACAATATTTTTTTCTTTTTTAGGATCAGCGAGCTTTCATACGTATCGGTATTTGAATGTGTTAAACAAGAGCCAGTATCTTATCTTATGGATTATATAATTGGTACGTATGTATTTCAACATGTATGATGTTCTGTTCTGCTTGAATTTATGCATATCTATATAACTAATAAAATTGTTTTACATACATCACAAACAATGGGAGTTATCTTGGTATATCATCCAAATATAGGTATATAGAACGATACAAATGTAGATGTATAGAACGGCCTGATAAGTCATTACAATTGTCTTGCAGAAAAGATAATTTTGGCTTATCTCTAACCTTTTTTTTAAATAATAAGACTGATATTTCTCTTCACATAATTGTTACTTCACATTTTACAATGCGACAAAACAAAGGACATTAAATGTTTGTACCTGCACTTACATAATCTATACAATAAGACTCAACGAGCCCATATTCTCATCATTATTACACTTTTTTTTAGTGATATATTCATTACGTTTAATAATGCAATTTCGTGATTATAAATATGATGAAAAAAAAAGAAAAAAAAATTTTTTTTTTTATACGGAAAAAAAAATAAAAAATAAAAAAAAACAAAATGGTTTATGAAGCCGATTTCCCCAAACATCTGAAGTGTATTAAGATATTGTCACTTTTCTTCGTAGTGGGATTATAACTACGTCAAAAAAACCCCAAAACCAATGGAACTTTAAACGCAAAATGAAACTGTGGCGTCTAGAAAACGGACATCTTTATATTCAAATTAAGGATCAACCGCTTTGTCGTTTTGTTCCTGCGTGGGACTTGGAGTTTCATCAATTCTTGTTTAACCAATTTTACAATAATGATCGGTATATTAATGCGAACGATTGTCACAAGAAAATCATGGTGCAACATATTGGTATCATGAAAAAGGAAGTTTGTGAATACGTTCGAAATTGCAACACATGTAATCGAGTTACCTCGATTAAAGAGAAGGATGACCTAACGCCGGTTATAAGTTACAGTCCGATGGAACACCTTCAAATGGACCTCATTGATTTTACAGCATACAAGGAAATGAACGACGGATTTTCCTGGCTCCTTACCATGGTTTGTATCTTTTCGAAGTTTTTGTGGGCTATCCCACTTATAACAAAAGAAGCCGATATAGTAGGTGAAGCTTTAATATCTTTATTTGCACAATGGGGCGCGCCGGCAATTCTACAATCTGACAATGGGAAAGAATTTATCGTGAATGTTGTCAAACGAATTTGTGAAGCTCTTGAAATAACAATTAGGCACAGACGCCTGAGATATCCAATGTCACAAGGCCAAATCGAATGTTTAAATCAGACAGTTGGGTGCATATTTACTAAAATGTTGTGGAATGAAGACCTGCGTCTACAAAATGTAAACCGGAAAGATCATTTACTAAAATTCATTTTTTCTTACAACACCACCCAGCATAGTGTACATGGAAAGACCTCCGCGAAGTAATGTTTGGCTATAAACTTCTCGGCATATACCAGCAATTCAATCCAACTGACCCCGTTGACTTTCAGGCCTTTACCAACCTGTATATCAACAAGAAAATGCTTCTTGAGCTAATCATCAAAGAAACCCTAGTACCCTTTAAGAAAAACAAGAACAAAAACAAATATATACCCTTGATCCATCATAATATTGTTATAGCAATATACAAAAAAATATGGCTCATTTCTAGAACAACACAATACAGTTCTATCTCCTGCTATCTCTACTACAACCTCTTGTAATATATAAAACCAAACTACTTATATCTACTTTCATATATAATAAGATCTACCAATATATAACATATGGATAGTCTTCACTTAACTTCTTTATCAAAGACTAGAGGTTTAATAACCATTCTAGCAAAGAATAGATCGAGAGTAAAGTAACTTTTATCTCCATCTCCCATAGTATAGTTTTCTCTTCATATATCTTTATATGTATATTTACTATTAAATAAAAGAAATAGAAGATAGACCTCTCTTTAAAAAAAAAAATAAAATAAAATAATTTAATTAATGATTCGCCAGTTAACCAAAGAGAGATCATAGTATAACATGTCGTAGTTTATATAGAGAAATTAGAGTTTTGTGAATATGGGTTGCATCATTTTAAAACTTTTTTATATTAAGTTAACCACTTTTGGACTTCTAATTGAAGTTGTAGAGCTTGTTAAGAAAAATCTAATAGTAGTTAAATTATCAAAATCAGCTTTGTAGATCATAAAATATCTTCAGAAAAGTTTCGCCAACTATATAAAATTCTCTTTCGACAATACTATTGTTGAAAAAGAAATTTACATAGTCAGTGAAATGTTTTTAAAGATATCTTATGATCTACAAGACTGATTTTAATGATTCAACTACCATTAGATTCCTCTTAATGAGCTTTACAACTTTAATTAGAAGTCTAAAGATAGTTAACTTAGTATAAAAAAAGTTTTAGAATAATGCAGCCCATATTCGCAAAACACTAATTTCTATAAATAAACTGTATCATGTTATACTATGACCTCTCACTAGCTGACTAGCGAATTACCAATTAAGTCAAAATTGTAGAGTTCATCAAGACACATCTAACAGTGGTTAGATCATCCAAAATGATTGGCTGACTATGTAAAATTCTATGTAAACAAACTATTGTTTATATAGAAATTTTACATAGTTAACCAATTATTTTTTGATAATATCTTGCTATTGGCTAGGCTGATTTGAATGATCTAACCACCGTTAGATGCGTCTCAACGAGCTCTACAATTTTGACTTAATACAAAAGAGTGATTAACTTAGTATAAAAAAAGTTTTCCTTAGATGAATACTATATTCAGAATATATATGATTTATATAGTGATCTGCATCACATTATACTATGATCATGCACCAGGTGACTGGCGAATCACCAATTAAAGTATTTTTTAAAAAAAATTAAACTATAAAAAATAAACAAAAAAGAAGTATATAATAAGTTTTAATAGAGTTGTAAAACTCTATTATTAAAAATAATCAAAATCTCTTTTTGTTTTAAAGAAGTTAGTATAGTAATAATCTAATTTTATTTATCTTTAAGAAGTTGCTATCTCTTAGATTGTAAACTAATGCAGACAAATTTGTCTGTGTTTGTACTATAAATATACTACTGATCTATTTTTTTAACAATTTAGAATATTTAAATGAAATTTGGTATAAAAATATAGATTATTTTTTTATAGTATTTATTTTTAGATTATAAGAAAAAAATTTTAGATTACTTATAAACCAAAAATATGCAATTTTAAAAATAATTTTTAAAAAAATATATTTCAGTTTATCTATACCAAATTTTTAAATATTAATTTTAGACTAATACAACTTTATAGTTTGAATAATGGATTATAATTTTAATTATTATAAATCTGATAATTAGCTTGTAAAAATTAATACTTGTCTTAAAAGTAAAAATTTTTCTAGCTTCAGAAATATATAAAATTTTAAAAAACTTAAAAAAAAATTTAATAATAAACCCTAATATTATACAAACTTTAAACTTTAATTAATTCTGAGAGACCAACGTGAGAATTGACTAAGTTGATGAACTCATGTGATGTTGCATGAAATGTTCCAACATGAGGCAAACAAATGGGGGGACTGTTAATCAAACTATCTCTGTTTTTTGGCTTTATTTTTGCCAGACCCTCTTTTTTTTGTCTTTGAATTTTTTTAAGTTTATTTTCTTTACAAAAAAAACAAAATTTACTTCTGACGACATTCATGATTGAACTAAAAAAGTAACTAATACTGATTAATTGAAATATAACATTCGGTAAGTTTTTTAATTTAAAATTTTTTTTTGGTTTTTGTTAATTTAAATTTAAATTTTTTTTAATTTATCGCTTTTTTTTGTTTTTTTTTTTTTTTTTTTTTTATTTTTCGCTTTTTTTTTTGCTTTTTTTTTTTTGTTTCT